TTTGCATCTGGTGGCTGTGACAACCTGGTCAAGATCTGGAAGTAAGTGCCGTGTTGCCAGATAAAACCTGACACTTTAGGATTAGAGTTTCCCTGTTATTTTTGGTCATCCCTATTGTATCATCTTCGAATTACTGTTTTAGAGAAGTGTTTTAAAAATGGAAGCTTAGTGATGCACAGTATCCCATGGTTCTTGCAGGGTGCCAGCCCTGTGTGATCCTGTCTCCAAGGGTGGCTTTGTAATGGTCTTTGGTTACCACTTTGGTAATAGCAGATTTCTGACGGTAACTGGAGGTCAGAACATCTTTGCCTGTGCTGCTTTCTGCCTCCTGGAAGGGATTTTGTCAGTTCAAGCCATAGAGATTTTTGGAGAAGTAGGGAACACTTGTGCTTTGTATTGTATTGATGAAGAAGGAGTTTGAATGCTGCAATGCAAAGCCTTCCTGAGCAGGGCGTGAGGTGATGAAGGGTGCTGCCACCATCCCTCTGACCATACAGCTGTGTTTTCAGGGAAGAAGAGGGTCAGTGGAAAGAAGAGCAGAAGCTGGAGGCTCACAGTGACTGGGTACGAGACGTGGCCTGGGCCCCATCCATCGGGTTGCCGACCAGCACCATTGCTAGCTGCTCTCAGGTGAGGTTTCTCTGGAGCGACAGGCAGGCACGAGGTGTGCTCACTTCCACGTGCTCCCATCCCCATTTCTCTAGGGAAGGAATTGTAGGGATAGAGCTGCTGTGACAGGTCCTCTTGGCAATCCTTTGCTGTATGTGGGTCACTGCATAAGAGCCTTTGACTCCTGTTCTTCCCAATCTCAGAAGCCCAATAGAAGCATTTCTGGACAAAGGTTTATGTGCGTGCGTGCCTCTGTACCAAAGACTGGCTTCTGCTTTGAAAATCATGAGCAGGATGGTTTCACTAGGAGGAAGACCTTCCAACTAATGTCATATTTAGTGTTTTGGGGTCAAATTTACTGAATTTCCTTCTAAAAATACTGTTTTCTAATAACTGGCGTTCTTAATCAGCTCTGATGTTGTCAGCCTTTATATTGACTGTTGTGTTCTTGTTAATCCGTAAATGCTTTTCTTTTTAACATCAAGAAGACTACTTAGTGAGCTCCTGCCATGTGAGTGGAAAACAAAATCTCATTCTGAGGAAGTATCTCAGCTGATACATATGTATTTTGGGGGCCCTTCTCTGGTATTTGCAAGTCGTTGTTGGTAGTTTTTCTCATCAGAGCTGTACTCCTGCCTTGCCTTTATCCGCAGCAAGGAGACAGCCCCTTGCTGTGCTGAGCACAAATCCATGCAGGCACATCAAGGCTGGTGTGCCAGCTGTGATTTGGAAGTGTAGCTCCAAGGGCATTTCAGGGTTACGTTTCTTGTGCCCAGCCTTGGTCTCGGTGTTTTTGCAGGATGGCCGAGTGTTTATCTGGACGTGTGATGATGCCTCTGGAAACTCCTGGTCGCCAAAGCTGCTGCACAAGTTCAATGATGTTGTCTGGCACGTGAGCTGGTCCATCACTGCCAACATCCTTGCAGTGTCTGGAGGAGACAACAAAGTGAGTACTGTTGCCTTGGCTTTTACCCCTGTGCACCCTGTTTCCAGGGGAGCTGAGGTGAGGCTGTTGTCACCTGTTTAACTCAAGGCTGTCACAGAGTCTCCTTTGCTGCAGTGGGGGCATTTTTTCTTCTGATTAATCAGGAGGGCAGGAAGACCGTAACCTTTGGAAAACCACTTGCACTGCATTCTGTCCTTACTGTAGGGTAGAAATGCAGGCTGAGCTTGATTTTTGTGGGGTACTGACAATTCACGTACTCTCCTCATACAACTGCAGGCTACCACCATACCCATGCTGTGGTAGCTACAAGAAAAGGGGAAACAGGATATGTTTAAAGCTGAAAGCTGTTCCTGCTCTGTTTTTGAGGTGACACTGTGGAAGGAGTCGGTGGACGGGCTGTGGGCGTGTATCAGCGACGTGAACAAGGGCCAAGGAGGGGTGTCTGCTGTGACAGAAGGGCAGCAGAATGAGCAGTGATGCATGGTGGAGTACTCCAGCTGCAATGAGTGATCACTGTCCCTGATTTGCCATGCGTCTTTAGCTGGATGAGAACTGATTTTATCTAAACTGGACATGAACGTGGGAAACAATTATCCAATTTTATGAGCACTCTTACTGGGAGGCTACAATATGTTGATAATCAGCCTTAATTGACATTCCCTTAAATTCAAGATAAACAGTATAGCCAAGGACTGTGCCTGATACTACTCCTTGATACTGTAGGAATTATTCCCTGCTTTTCTGGTTTAGGGGTCAAATTTGAGTGGCTGTGCTGTGGTCAGAGTTCACGCACTTCAGCAGAACAGGGAGAAGCTGTCAAAGCAATGAGGTGTGATACTCCTTTATGCAGGGGACAAATACTCTGTGCCCTCAAAGACCAGAACTTTGTTTCAAGTGGGGGAATGGGCTGGTGGAGTTCTGGGGTTAGCTGGTGGTGTGCTAGCTAGCCCTGCTGGTAACAGTGAGGTTGTACTTGTGTCTTTCTGAAAATAACGTGCTTGGTGAAAGTCTGCCTTCTTGAAGATGAAAAGGAGTAGTGGAATGCATATGTCTTCTGCTTTATAATAATCTCAAACTGGGTTGTTTAACCAACATCAATAAATCAAACCATGGTTTGAAGATTTATTTTTTTTAGTCACACTTCTGTACTGTACCTCAGTTGTTTGGATTTTTTTTTTTTTTGGTTGAGATACCGACAGAATAAAATCTCATTGGTTAAAAACCTGGCGTGCTGTATTAAATAATCTTTTCACGGATTGCCTTTTCAAGGCAATCTGCAGTCTGTCTTCAGCCAAGCCGCAGTCACATCTTCCCATCCTTGTAATTAGCTTTCAAGAGCTTGGCTTTTTTGGTAGGATTTTTTTTTTTCCTCTAATGGTACATCATGAGACAAGGCTTTACAAAGCCATTGCACTTCCTTTGGTCTTGGCAATTCCCAGGGAGAACGTAAGCGGTGCCAGCTCCCCTTTTCTGCTCTTACAGCTTTACTCGTCATGAGGGAAGAAAGAAGGCCGTGAGCCCACTGGTGCCCTTTGCAGCTGTTTGTTTTTAAAACCATGTTTTTAAAACCAGCGTCGGCCGGCGGAAAAGCGAGGCCGCGGGTTTGTGACAGCCCCGCCGCCCTCAGGCACAGCCCCGCCCCGGCTGGCGCTCATTGGGCGGCGGGGCGGCGGCGGAGGCGCTGATTGGATGGGCCGCGAAGGGCGGGAAGGGCGCCGCGCGCGCTCCCCTCAGGCCCGGCCCGCCCGCGCCGCAGCAGCCTTCGTAATTAATTTCACGGCGAAATTCTTCTCTAGAGCCATCAGAAAGGAAACAAAGCTACTTGACACTGAATGGAGACTGAATAAATATGTCTGTACTAATAATTACTACTGAGAGCAAAGTTCTCAGTTCTTTTGCCCAAAGAGGGTGGAATGAGATATGTTTTCTGTGCCATAAATCGTGAAAAAACAGCCTAAAAAGAAAGGATTTTTTCAGGTTTTTTATTCAAAAAGCTACTAGTAAATGGTAATGCATAAACTGGATTGTGAACTGCCAAGTTACATAACAGTGTTAATGTGAGACCACACAGTGTCTTATATATGCCATGCTAAATACTTAGGTAACTCTGTAAGACTACATAAATCACCTCAGACAAAGAATAACAATTCCATTTGGTGACTACAGGAGAACAAAACCTCTAAAGCACCTTAGTGAAACAGAACTGTGCACAAACTACCTTTCTCAGTTTAAAACTCGTGTTTCCCATTCAGCTCTGCAGTGTATCCATGTGCATTTCTTTCTGGAGAAGACACCACGATTTTACCACAGGTCTCCCCCAGAATACACCAGTGAAAAACAACGAATATTACATTTTCAGTGCCACAAAGTATCTCTATAAATCTCCTGTAGAATTAAGTAGTTATTGACCAATCTGAGTATACAATGTTTCTTATGTCGGTATTAATCTTATCTTGGTTTGATTCTGGTAAAATTAAAAAACCCCTGACACAGGTAAATACAAAGACAGTATCCAAGGCACTTTTAATTAAGGAATTGTACCAGTTTTTAGTGTAGAGAATAATGAGAAATGTGTAGATAATTCCAGTATACAGGTCTTCAGCTAAAATACTTTTACTTGCTCATAATAATACATACAATGAACTAGGTACTGTACAAAAATAGAAGTTAAACAGTTCTTTGTGTAAAGCTAGGAATATACACTACTAAACAATTCCACTGAAAATAATTGCATATAATTAATTTTATTTTTGTTCCCTGACCTGCACTGTGAATTGCAGCCATTTCTGCACATCAGGCCCTGTTCCCTGTGCTCAGCAGGCAGCTCACCTGTCTGTAAACTGAGCTACATACTCTGGTAATTCTTTTGGTCCATAACAAACCTGTTTTTCCCTATACTGTACACAAGTGGAATATGCTAGCAATAATAAAATTTTAATAAAATAAAATGTTAATAAATATCACAAAAACAAAATACTTTCTTAAGAGGGCTTTCACTTGATCATAAATACACCAGCATACAAGTTTCTGGTTTTTGTTTTGCATGTGATCCCTGGGCCTGAGACCAAGGCTTCTACTGCTCCTACAACTAAGGGACACCCACAAGGTTCTTCTGAGAATGCCTGGTGAGTGTGGAACCATCATAATTAGCTTATATTTGACCCATTGCCAAAATAAATACAACAATTTATGTTTCAAGTGTCCTATAAAAAATCAAAGCCATTTTAAATTAAAATATTTTCCCTAATCCAAAGTATACAACAGTTGTCGCCCTGATTTTGTAAGACTTTGTTAAGCCTTCTGATGTTTACATTCTTTCAACAAACTTTCTCACACACAGTTCTGTAAATAACCTATGTTTTGCATTCTTTCATGGAGGTGGAGAGAACTGATGGACCCTTGGTCTGTCCAGTGGCATTGGAGAGGTGGCACTGTCACCCTCCAATCCACTGTCACCTTTGGAAAACTATAAATGTTGGAGTCAGAAAATAAAGTTCTTCTTTTTTGTTCCCCTCGAGAGCAGCAGTGTCTGTGTCATCATTTGGTGCCTTATCACAACAAACAGTTATCACGTGAAACACAATGAGAAACATTACCATGTAAAGGACACTTTGAGAAAAATAATTGCCAAAAATACCCCTATGGAGTATTGAACGTGGTCCCAGAGCTCCCAGCAGTGAACTGAAAGTTGGGCTTACGTGCTGTCAGTGTGGAGGGAAGCTCAGAGAGGAAGGGGCTGAAGTTAATTACCTTCACTTGTGGTCAGCACGGTCCAAACCGAGGTGAAGCTGTGCACAGCATCCTGAGAACTTGCGCAGAAATCCCTGTCTCTGGGAATGCACTGGGTCTGAGCGTGTGGAGGAAGGCTGGACGGACAGGAGAGCCACTGCAAGCCTCCGAGGGGCTCTGAGGACTCCTGTCCCTCCGAGGGGCTCTGAGGACTCCTGTCCCTCCGAGGGGCTCTGAGGACTCCTGTCCCTGCAGGCAGAGGAAAACAGCTCGGGGGATTGCTGCCTGCCAGGGGTCAGCGTCTGCTCCGTAACCGCGGGTCAGCTGCCTCCTGAAACACGCTGAAAATCAACACAAATTACTATGTGCTTGCCATTCTTGTGTTTGCCATTCACGCTGCAGATGGAAAGGCAGAAGGCATTTCTGTGTACAGAGTGGGACTTAATCTGATAGAGAACAGGTATTTTCTGGTGCTCCTCCATGTGGTGCTTCTTGTTTCCTTCAGTCAGGGCTAGTGTTCCTGATCGAAATCTGCTACCTAATCGTAAGTGAAAAGTGCACTTTTATCATCTTTCTAATGAGGAGACAGTCCTTATTTCTTCTGAGCTGGCCACTGCTAATTAATCCATCCAATTTATGATTCAAAAAGTTCAGAACTGTTTAACTTGTCCTCTTCATACAGCAAAATATTTTCCATGAGCTTCTTTTTTTGATCATTTATCTGTATTTTCCAAGACGTCTCTCTGGCTAAGGCTGCAAAACAAAAAGAGCACAAATAATGAGGGAAGAAAAGCATCTATTGTCTAAGAAATAGATGATAATTTTAAATTTAAGAAAAAGCAAGCAACTAACCAAACAACAAAACTGGCTTAGGAAAAAAATCTGATAGAAAACTGCTAAATGTTTTGTAGATTTATTAGTAAATTCATAACCAAGGAGACAAGATTTACCGCTATGTGTTTAAAAGCAGGAAGAGGGACCTAAGCAGCTCTGGAGAAGGGAGCAATTTGCCCCAGTACTGTCAGAGGAGGGCACTGTTACCTTGAGGAGCACACGCAGAGTCCAGGTCGCTGTTTCCCTGCGGGCAGGTGCCCTGTGCAGCAGCTGCTGGCTCCAGGATGCCATCGCCTCGGGCGCACGCCAGGCTTCTCTCCTGCAGTCCCTGGGCAGGCTTTCCCTGCCTGAGCCCGTAATCACAGCCTGCTGCTCTGTCTGAACTGCTGCACTTGTGGCTGGGTGACTCCTCTGAGGGCTTTTCTGGAGGATCCCACAGGAAACTGCTGGACTCATCTGATTCACAGGGGACCCGTGACACGTAGATGCCGCAGGTGTGGGGTGCCACAGCTGCCAGGGAAGGCACTGCTGCCTGGCTGCTCTCCTCCTTGTTCCCCTCTGCAGAAGGCACATCCACGCTCACACTGGCTGTCTCATCATCAGTTTCTTCTGGAGTGTTCATGGAGAATCCAGAAGTGCTGCCTCCACAGACGTAATGCTCTTTTAATTTGTTTTCAGCCATTTCCATCATTTCACGCACCTGTTTTTAACAACCAAATCTGTGAATGCATGATAATTCCCGTACCCCTGCTTACACACATTCTCCTATGTCAACACTCACAAAAATAAGCAAGACATGACTGTTGTAGCTTTACACCCTGATGACAAGGAGACTTAAATCTTGGCCGTATATTTAAAATATTACCTCTGCTATGTTCGAATTCTTCTTTCTCAGACAAAGGCAGATGGCTGACGCAAAATCAACAGCCACCTCTTCCAGCAAGTGCCCTGCTTTTCTGTCTAGGTATTTGCAGCAGATTTCCTTGGCAGCCAGTTTTTCCAAATTTTTTACTTTGGAGTTTGAGCTTTCTTTTGCTGTTTGAATTTCGTCTGCAATCATATCTTTCTGTTCAAACGAAGGAGATGCGTTAGTGAAGGCAAAATGAACACAAGCATTTCTTTTTGTCTGAATCTCTGAGAATCAGTATTGCTGTGTATTTGTCATTGGTGTTCCTCAATGCCTGGCTCACAAACTGAAAACCTTTAATAATCTCTGTTCATGCAACTGACTGAAATGTTTGCTCTCACGAGAGAGAAAAAGGCCAGTGGCTTTCTCTGCATGTGTCCAATGTCAAATTTCCTAAAGCAGGGCAAGCTCTTCCTTGCTCATTTATACAGGAATGAAAAAGAGCCAACACCTTGTAGAGCAGCATTCTTACGCAGGCCTTTATAACACATGTTAAGGAAATCAGGAATGTAGGATCTTTGATTTTTGGAACCCCTCTGAACACTGGGAATACTGTTGTTCTCCCTTCCAAGGCTTCAGCCAGACCAGAAGTCAGGAGCACATGCCACAGAAGGAAAGCAGGTGAAGGCTGCTTTCTGCAGATGGTTCTAATGCATTCAGTGGGTTTGGCTCTTCTGATTGCTTGTGACAGTGGCTCATGTAGCTCTAACCTCAGCTTGGGAAACCGGTTGGAAATCAGTTCCACGCATGAGCACAAGACAAAGCCTGATAAACATGATGATGAGCTTCTGCAGCTCCTGCCTGCCCAGGCTCCCCCACTCACTGTGGCTCATACCACCTCCTCCTGGCACACAGAAAATGTGCAGCAGCATTCCAGCACAAAGCCCTGTCTCTGAAATATTTATTTAATTTGCAGTCTCTCCTAATGCCATTCAGGCCAGCACCCATGAGTGGGTATGTGAAATGGGAATATCAATTGTGCCTCTGTTCTAATGGCAGGCAGGCTACTGACCTTAATGGAACCAGGATATGGCTCCCAAACTTCTCTTCTGCAGGACATGTGCAGCAGACAGCAAACATCAAATTGTATTTATTATTTTTAGACAGCAAGCCCATACATTTGTATTGGTGCCCATTACTGCTGCTTTTTCTTACCAGGTGAATTGGGTTTCTGTCTTCATCCAGGGCCTTAATCCCAGTCAGTATCTCTGCTAAGACCTAGAAAGTGTATTAGAAAGATAAAATTATTTGTTCAGAATGAACTATAATTTTAAAAAATAAGTATTTAACTAAAGAAATATTGAACTTTCAATGCATTCTGATATTATATTTTTACTTCAGATGGCTCAACAATGCCAGCTCAGGGCATTTATGAGACTTTAGACATTAGAAAGTGCATTTGTTCAGATTGAACTATAATTAAAAAAAAAAAATTAACTAAAGAAATATTGAACTTTCAATGCATTCTGATATTATATTTTTACTTCAGATGGCTCAACAATGCCAGCTCAGGGCATTTATGAGACTTTAGATCTACGTCCAGAACCAAGCCCAGATTTTATAGTTCAATAGATATTGCTGAAACAAAGAATAGGAAGAAAGTAAAGCTAAATATAGATAAAAAATCATACTGCACAAAGCAACTTCCTACTTAAATGGAAACACCTGGAGACGGGTGACATCATGTAATATAAATTATTTTAGCTGAAATTACAACTGAACAGGCAATGTTTGTAGGACTTCATGTGGTGAGTCTGCAAGAATTTTGAGCATCTAGTTTGTTTTAAGCCTTCAGCAGTAATACTTGATCTGCAATAAAAAACACGTTTGTTTCTCTTGTTCAAAAGATTCACCTCATTTTGCCACAAACTGAGATATATTTGGAGTTAAAACCAGGCTTTCAACACATTATAGAGCCAGCAACCATAATATGAAATCGCCAGCAAAACAACCATATGAGGTACTTGCTCTTATTCAATTTCTTGTCTAGAAGCATCAAAAAATAAACCAGAGCATGGAAAAAAGGCAACATACCACACCACAGCTGAATATATCCACTTTTTCTGTTAACTGCCCATGTCTGATGAAGTCTTCTGGCAGGTAAGAAAGAGAAGCTTGCAGGACTTTGGTTTTCATCATGGCATATTCTGATTTTTTATCAGAAGACTGCAACCGCAGTCCAGAATGCCCGAGCTTCGGTGTAAAGTTTTCATCCAACAAGACATTTGAGCTGCAATAATGACAGACAAATAACAATATTGGTCAAATCATTACTTTGTCTTGAGGCAAAGAATTAGTTTTATGCTTTTAAACTTAAGCACTGAAAGTGTCCAGCATTTTGCCTCCTGCATAGGACTGAAAGGATTAAGAATATTAGAAAGCAAGAAGGGGAAAAAACAAGCACCCAAAAATTACTTCAAAATAATTTACTTCCTTCATTTAGGAAAGAGAGACAGGTTAAACAAAAAAGGGTAAAGGTCCTAGAGAAAAAGGGACAGCAGAAATTACTGCAAATGGATTTCCAAATTGTATAAACTTTAGCCATGATTATTAAAGAAATCCTTAAATTACCAGATGACCAAGGAAATCAAAGTTCTCACCTCTTGATATTCCCATGAAGAATTCCAAAATTATGCAAATATTCCACTGCTCTGACAACTCCTAAAGAAATCCTAATGCGCATCTCCCAGGTCAGTGGAGCAGAATCATCCTGCAAGGAAAGGAGGAAAAAATTGGTAATTAATGGAATAAAAGCCTGTAAGACATTGGTAGTTTAGAAAACCAAAGGCTTGGCTGAGTCCCAGTCAAACTCCAGAAGAGCTGCTGCCTTCCTGGTGCTGCAGCCAAGGCACTGGGCACCTTTTTTTCCTGTCTGTTTCTCAGAAATCAAAGAGATGCAATAGTTTTTCCTGGGATTCCAGGAGAGCACTTGCAATGACAAGCAGGTGGCAGACCCAGACGATGTCTTACGTGGCACTGGAGCTTGTTCTGCAGGGAGCCGTTGGGCAAGTACGGATATATGAGACAGTGCGATCCGGCTTCCACCGAGAACCCCAGCAGCTGCAGAATGTTTATGTGGCAACACCTGCAGGCACAGATCAGCAGTGATTTGCAAATGAGGTAAGAGCAGCGCACAAAAACACATTCCTGAGCTGGAGCAAGTCCCTAAATTCAAGGCAACTAACTGGAAGGGTGTGCTGCAGCTGGAAGCACAGCTGGAGCCCAGCACGGTCCTGGGCAGGAGCTGGCAGGAGGCTGACTGAGCAAGAGCCCATCACTGCAGCAGGGGACGAGCTGGGCACTGTGTCCTCCCCACCCCAAGGCTGCAGAGTGGCTGTGGCAGCTCAGCCAGGACCAGCAGGAGCCCCGGGCACTGTGCTGCCTGCCCGGGGCTCCCGCAGAGGCAGCACAAGACCGCGTGTGCCCGGCCAGAGCCGTGCCTGGGGCAGGCACCCCAGTGCTGATGGGACACCCAGCAGCAGAGCACGAGTGGGACACACAGCTCTGCCTCTGAGAGCCAACCGCTCACCGAAAGCAAATCTGCACTTCCGTATGAAAGAACCTCTGGGTGGAATTTGGGCTTGTGCACTCCAGCTGAAAAATGAAAACATGCAAGAGAATGTAGTTAGAAATTACCAGGACTTTGCCTTTATACAGATCTGACAGTCTCTAGATGACAAGCTAGCGTAGCAAACAGGCAAGTACCACTCATGGCAACATTAAGTCAAAGGCAACAATTAACTGGCAATTAGAACAAAAACTAGTGTAAAGACACGCCCGATCCAATCATCCAATGCAGGCAGCTATACTACAGACTACTCTTATCTAGAGTTAATGGAACTACTCACATGAGTAAAGTATTCATCAAAGTGTGTTTTCTGAATTTAGGTTTAATTATTTACATAATTTCATTTTTACCTCTCCTCTTGTGTAGTTATTCCTTCCCCACACAGTATTAAACAACATCTGCTAATGGGCAAGTCATGCTAGTAACACACACTCCTCTAGAAAAAGGTGCAGTACTTGCCTCTTTGAGCCTTTTGATGACAAACACCACGTTGTTCCTCTGACCTTTGTAGACATCTGCAAAGGCACCTTCACAGATCCTGTTCTTGTCACTGAAGCTGTTGGTGGCGTTGGCAATTTCCCTCTGGGTCCACAGGAGACTCCCGCTCGGGAGATCAGCCATCGTCTCCTGCTGAGGAGCAGAAGAGCTGCAAGGCTACACATTTGTAGAAGAAACAAGTTTATCTCATGATAATTCATATGCTTTTTCCCTCTTTCAGTGTCATATTTTCCTTCCCATGTTTTAAGCAATCGTGATTGCTGAATGAAACTGTGAAAGGCACTATGCAATCACTCCTTAGGGTGTAGGTAACTCCTGTATTGATGTGTTGGGATGATGTAAAACTTTTGCATAGCAGAAGCAAAATCAGCTACCAATCTGCATTTCCACCTTTCCCAGGAAACAGACTTAGCTTTGTTTGAAAGGCCATATATTTCTGTGAACTGATGCTAGTCTGATTTACAAAAGATCTTAGTCTTTATAGCTGGGTTACATATTATGAAACAGTTGGATGAGAAAGTGAGGTCCCTTGTAATTATGGTCTGGTAAACTTCATATCTACTTTTGAAGCATCTGGCATCAGTTGCACAATAATTTGTTGCTTCCAGTGTGGTAAGTCCTAATACCAACTATAATTACAGTCTCACTGGAGCCTAATCATGCAGCTTTCACAACCTCAATAAGCACACAACTTGAGGAAATAAAGCACTAACTTCTTCTCAAGAAACTGTGAAACTACTGCACTCTGAGTCAGTCTTCCCTCCTGGCTGATACTCCTGGACCATGTTATCGTGGAAGAGTTAAAGCCTCAGACAAAATAAACCAAAGAAAACAGGCCAAGAACAACCACGATGGGACTAAGGTGTGCCCACAGATCTGGGAAACACTTTGGGGACAGGACAGATCTAGTTAGACTGTATGAAAGATGAGAGAACTGTGGGCAGGAAGGAATAGGAGACTTCATGCTGAGATCATCAGGAACATTAGGAGAATTTTCCCCACTGTGATAGTTAAGCACCTGAACAGGGGCTCAGAGAGGTGATGGAACATTTATCTTGGGAGATTTTCAGTTGTCAGCTACACAAGGCTTTGAACAACATGACAAATTCAATACTAGCCCAGTTTTGAGCAGAAACCACATTTTAAGTATACAATGAAACTAAAAGAGGTCTGTGGTTCTGACTAATCAGTGATATATACTGTCCCGTGATCACACCAGAAATGTAAGTCCTCTGTAAAATCTACATGTGAGAGTCCTTCAAACTCAGTTGCTGTTTGTTGGTATGCTATCCCTTCTGAGCTATGCAGGAAGTAATACTGTAAATTTTTCCTTCACTGGCAAAAAAGTGATGTAACCACAAGCAATCTAACTGAAGCACTAGTACTGCATTCAGTCCAAACCCTTTGTATGGAGCTCAACGTTTTCACTACAGCAATGTTTTTGTACAAGGAGAGGGATACACTTTAACAGAAAAAAGACAGAATGTCATAAAGGCAATTTTCCTTGTAGAGTCAGTGAGCACTAAGGGGATTTACCTTCACACTCGATAGAACAGGAGGATTGGACTGTAGGGAATTCAAAAGGTCTCTCGGGGGAGGTGGTGGAGCAGGGAGGGAATACAAGGCTCCTTCACAAACAGCACCTGAAACTGAGATAACAGCATTGAAAACACACCTCAGTTTTGTAATACCACCACCTGTGACTAACTACAAAGCTCTAAGAACTATGAAGATCTGGGGTATTTTTTTTTTAACTTTCTGACCAAGGATAACCTGTGACAAGCTGACAAACTGAAATTCTGTGTGAAGACAGGAGCTCTCTTCCTGGTTCTTGTTTGCAGGATGACTGTGCAGCCCTCTGCAGCCCTGGCTGGGACATGGAGCTCCCTGAGCCTGTGCTGCTGCAGATGCTCCCCCCAGGACGTGCTGGGGTTCTCCCTTCCCTCTCCCAGCAGAGGGGCTGCTGACCCCTCCCCAGCTCTCTGCTGGCCCAGATTCACTGTGCTTGGAGAGAGGGACATGGGGCAGGACATGCATGCACTGGTGCAGTCTTTGTAAGGAGCCAGGATGGGATCAAGGCGTTCAGAGTCCTGGGAATCATCCTGAGATCCCACAGGACAGACACAGCCAGCATCTCTGGAGGACAAGGGGGCCAAAGGAGGGACGAGCAGGAGGTTGTGTGCTGAAGCAGGAATAAACAGGAGACAGCAGTGCTGGGAAAACAGCACACACTCAGCTGTGCCCACCTGGGAGACCAGTGTCTGCACTGCACGATCCTGACACAAACACACAGCAGCTTGGCTTGCAGCCATTTCATGGCAGAGCAAACTCACAGCCCAGTACTGAACTTACTGCCTGAAGGGGCTGCTCCCAGCTGTGAGGAGTCTGGGGATGGCAACAAACTTAGGGCACTCTCTTTGTCGCTCCTTTGGCCTTCTGTGGCAGGTACAGATACCATCTGTTTGGGTGGCTCTGGCTCTTCTTTCTCAGGGAGGGAGATGCCAGAGGCTGATGTCCCTTCAAAACACAACAAAGGGAACGTAAGGATAAGCAGGGAAAATAGAGCCTGACTCTAATCAGTGACCAGAAAATAATCCTAATCAGGACATCAGACTTCAAATTAACATCAACATTAAAATGAATACTCAAGCAATTTAGACAGTATTTAAATTGAGACCATACCTATGACATTAACTTCTACTGAAAATTAACAGGAACTAATTGCTTCAAATAAATACCAGCAATGACTGTTCAAGAGATGCAGAGTCTCTTACAAGAATAAATTAGCAATAATGATATGTTTATCATTCATCCTTCAGGTAATGATCTCAAATCACAAATACCTCCCAGCCTAAGGAAGGCATTGAGTTCTCTGCCGTTGTCACAGGACTGAGGGGAAGATGGACAGAATTGTGTTTGGTTGAGTCAGTTACATGTTTTAGGACTATTTTCAATTGTGTGATTTTAGTGGCATGACTAGGTTCATTCCCAGGAAAAACTTCCATATACAGACTATTTGTAAGAAAAACTCTTACTTAGCAACAGAAAGAAACAAACCAAAGACAATCTAGGGAAAACAAAAAATGGTCATATATACAGACTATTTGTAAGAAAGATTCATACTTTTACTTCGCAACAGAAAGAAACAAACCAAAGACAATCTAGGGAAAACAAAAAATGGTCAAAGCTCAAAACTTGCTGATATATAAGGAAAGTTTAAAGGATGAATTATTGATTCACTACAGCTCTAACAGATCCTGTGCTGTACACAGCTTGGCAAAACCTCAGAGTTAGGCCTGAAAAAGCAACTTGAAGTTTGATTAAAAGAAGTAAAAAGATACAGTGTCCAGGAACTTAAAACTGTGTACACCTGAGGGGGAATTATTTAGATGAGATTAAACTACAATTAGGATGGGAAGAAATACAGTACAAAAGTTCAAGATGCTGTGATATATGAGGTTGTCAAAATCTCCAAAGCAGGTGAATTCTTACCTCTTAAAATGCCCTTAAAACTGAGGTTGAAAAGGAGCCTGGAAGTGCCCAGTGAGCACTAGGGGTGATATAAGGGCTTTCTACAACATTTTCTTGGTTGTAGATTTAAACTTTTGTATGGCACCTTTTAGAAATACATTTAACATTTTCTTAAAAATCCAAATTAATGTTTGGATATAACAGAAAAAACATAAGCCCAAACATTATTACATGGTGGTTTTTATCCTGCTGTTCTAACAGCTTTGGTGATTTTAGAATCAAATGTGGCAGGCCTCTGCATCTGAAATCAGACAGCTTTGTGCTCTTTTACTTGTACAAACAAAGGCCAGGGAGTAGCTGGAACAAGCAGAAGCCCAGTGTTTCTTGTGTAATCTGGGCTACTGGTGTGACCCATGAGCCAGAGAACTGTGGGAGGGAAGCCAAGGCTGGCACATCCGGGCACTGAGGCTGAAGAACAGCAGGACATGAGGAGCCATGAAGGCAGAAATGGCCAAGCTCCCTTCGAGGTTTCTATCTGTTCTCTTCAATGGCTTCAGCTCTGAATGAAACCAGGTCTGAAAATGAAAACTCAGAACACTCAGGTATTTTTGTGACTGTGTTAGAATGCTATGAAATCCCGAATTTTACAGGGTTTTAAGACTAGCTGTCAAACAGTCTGCAGGCCTTTAGTCAAACCTGACAGTCCCTTCATTCTGAGGGAAGTCCCTGTATTCTGTTTTTTTCCTCACATGGTTTAACCTAGAAGTCTCAGAACTTAGCATCACTTCCCTTATTCAACCTACTTTTCAGGGTTTTTCATGACTTTTGCAACTTCCTGCATGTCGGACAAACAGGGCAGCACTGCAGCTAAGGAACTGACATAGAAAACATCATTATGGACAATCAGAAGTGGCACTAGAGAGTGCAAAGAACTGTTGAATGGATGTAGAACTCTTTGGGAAGTAATCTGCCAGCAAAAGATCTCCCTTTGTGCTGTGTCTGATTCCTCCAAGTAGGAATGAATTGAATTATGGTGATGTAAGGATGACTTAGTCTCCTGAAGTGCCCAACAGAACAAGCAACATATCCTCTGTATCTGGATCACCTGAGTAAGCATATTCAGACACAGAGAAAAGCTAAAAATAAAAGTAACTGAGAGCAGCATAAGGGAAAGCAGGTAATGGCCTGTTGTACCTTCATCAGGTGCAAATTGTGCAAGCGATGGCCATACTGACACAGCACGGGAGCAAAGCAGACCCACGGAGGGGTGGTGATGGCTTTGTCTGTGCTGGGTGTGTGTTTCTGGGCTAACTGCTGCAACTGCTCTTGGAGCAGAAGCAATCCTGGCAGGGGCTGCAACAACATGCCGTCTGTCAGGCTGCGATCCAGCGCCGCAGGACCCTGTGTGCAGCCTCTGAAATCCTGCCTGAGGTAAAAAAGCACCAGCCCTGCTTTGGCCACAGCCCATCTTCCTGGCACTTCTTGAAGGGTCCAAGATAGCACCACAAAGATGGAGTGATGAGCTGCAGGGACCCTGAGTCCACCTGTGTCACCTCTTCCCTCACACCACCAGTTTTACTCGGGTGAGCGGAGAATCACAACCACTGAGACATTTTAGAATTTGACAGAGGATGTGACTTCTAACAAAAAGCCTCTTGAGCTAGCAAGAAGATATCCTAGGAGGGGCCTAGGTGCTGTGAGGAGCAGCACAGAGCCACGGCAGGAAGGGGCAGCTACTCACAGTCCAGGATGACCTGAGCTGCTCGGTAAAGCTGCAGCCCTTGCAGCAGGTCCAGGAGCTGCTGCACTGTCGCCAGCCTCACTCCCCACCACCACATGAGCTCCCTCGTGATGCTGATCCCCGTCTTCTCCATGCACTTGATTTTCCGTAGCTCTGTTTGATCAGTGATCACATAGGAGGCTGGTGGGAGAGAATGGATATCTCTGTTTAAATATTACAAAAAACAGGCAAGGGCAAGCAGGGCAGGCTAAGGTGTGAGACACTGTTTACTTTTGCATTTGCATATCTTTAAAAGGAAGGATCATAGTAAATTACCTATGGGGACATGAATAAATTTCTGTTCCTAAAGTAAGATATTCCTTTTGTTCCTTCAACTATTCTGGAAAAATTTTTGTTCTATCAGAGACACTTGAAAAGAAGACCCACTTATACTTTTCAGCATATTTTCCCTGCAATCTTTACCATTAACACTTTGTACCAGAGTAAGGTGAGATTAAATTCCTGGGGTGATTCTCCAAAACAGGTGACAGCAGTCAGTGGCGTGGCTGCACTCCCACTTGCATTCCTAAATCCCTGTGCTGTGGTGAGCACAATAACTGAATAACTGAAAAGCAATAACTGAATCACCTGGGTGTTAGCTGCACTCTGATAAAGCCATCAGGGAAATGCAGCTATTTTTAGGTCCTGTGCCCCAGCTGGCCCCACACAAGGTGTCCCAGCTCCTGACCATGCCTGTCATCCTGCTGTATTCCTCCAGCCCACTACCCACACAAAACCCCCTCCCCACACACCCAGACACTGCCCAGAGCTGGGGTCTCAGGGGGCTGTGCCTGCAGGAAAAGGCTAGGGGCTGGGGTGCTCGTGTGGAGACACATTTTCCTGAGTTCTGACCACGGCTGGCTGTGGAAGGACATCAGAAATACAGCCTTATGCATCTGAAGGTAGTGGAGATGAATCCTCCCCTACAGCAGGAACTTTAACTGGGGTAAGAGCTTATGCAGCACACAGTTAGGGAAGTCATGTCAAATAAAGGAAGGCAGGTACTAAGATTCAGGTTAGAATTCTTTGCAGGGGGACACAGAAAAAAGACTAAATAACTCAGGGACTCTATTTTCTATACTCTGACTGTACACAGCCAGGATCGAGAAAAACAGGGGCACAAAGCATGAGGGAATATACATGAAGAGAAGGAGGAAATAAAAAAACAGGACATCTGAGCAGATGTGAGGGACGTTGTGGAAACAGGCAGTGAGAAGTGGCCGGAGGTACAGCGCGACTGGAGAGGGAAGTGCGAAAGGTTGCGGGGAGCGAGGGGAAGGAGCCCGGCCGCCCAGGGAAAGCCAAGGAACCGCAGAAGCCTGGCATTCCACCTGAGTTTGAAAAGCAAAACCAGCCCGGGAATTCCCCGTCTCGGGATGCGCCCTGCCGAGCGCGGACAGCGCTGTCCGTGCGCACGGCCCTGCCCTCACCGAACCGCATCCAGTCGTAGTCGCTCAAGCAGTCCATCTTCTGGCAGAAGTCCTCCAGCACCCAGGCGGGCATGCTGTGGATGTAGAGCGCCGGGGCCGAGCCCGCCCGGGGGGCGAGGGGCGGCTGCGGCAGGGCCATGGCCGCGCCGTGCCCGTCCGGACAGCCCTCGCCGCCCCGCCGGCCACGGGCAGCTCACCGGCCTGTCCTCTTCGCCCCCGGAGCCTCCTCTGCCCCGGGGACTGCCCTGGCAGCCCGGCACGGCCCGCGATCCCCGGCGGCTCCGAGCGCCGCTTCCTGCTCCGCCTGACGTCAGGCCCGGCCCCCCATGCAAATCAGACTTTCCTCTCCGGGGCTGGGCACGGCTCCAGCCCGGCCGCCGAACTGCGAGTTACGGGCGCCGGAAGCAGAGCGGCTTTCCCGGGACAGCGGCCGGGAAGCGGAGGTGGCCGCGGGGACGCCCCGGCCGGGGCCCGCCACCGCGGCTGCGCTCCGGGCCCGCGCTGTGTGTGGGAACGGCCGCTGTGCCGGCAGCGAGCCAAAGAACATCACAAGCGGCCACACGGCCGCTCTTGCTCGTCAAGGGCTAGCTTTAAAATATGTTCTTAAAGTCAGCAATTTTTACTGATTTTTTTTTGTTTAACTTGATTTTGATGAAAATGAATAATTAGTTAATTTTCCAGTGTAAATATTACTAATCACTAATATTACTATTACTAATATTACTTCTGGCTTAAAGACAGCAATTTTTTCTGATTTTTTTTGTTTAACCTGATTTTGATGAAAATGTATAATTAGTTAATGTTCCAGTGGAAATATTACTAATTACTAATATTACTATTACTAATATTACTTCTGGCTTAAAGTCAGCAATTTTTTCTGATTTTTTTTTGTTTAACTTGATTTTGATGAAAATGTATAATTAGTTAATTTTCCAGTGTAAATATTACTAATCACTAATATTACTATTACTAATATTGCTTCTGGCAAAAAGGAGAGCCTTCCTGCCATACTACTGCTGCTAGAGACTGCCAGCAGATACACAAGTGTAACCATCCGTCTTCTGGTCTTGTTGTTCATATTTAACCCTAGGGCTAAATTGGTATGAATTGAAAAAAGTGCTGTACGTTTTGACAGCTTTTAATTAACTGTTTCTTTGTACTCTGCATGTATGTTACAGTACAGCTAACTCCTGTTTTCAGTGTCAAGCTTTCAAACTTTTGCAGTTTTCTGCACTTCTGGCCTCAGAAATCATGAGCTTCTTAGCTCTGCTTGTGACAATGCAAAACTGAAAAATGCAATATCCTTGTAGCTATAAGATCAAAGAACAGGGAAAAATAAACAAAACTACCAAAAGTATATCTAAAATATGACAACTCAAAGACTGCCTTGGGATAAGCTGTTTTATCCGTAGTACCAGTTCAACAATAATAGTTGCATTTATGGGGTTTTCCCCTCCCTTTCCCCTGCTTACTGTCCCTCTGACACACACCTAAATGCATTCATGATTGGAACATCTCTGGAAGTGATGTAAGATGAGACTGAAATTGCGTTGCAAAGAGCTACATAAAAGTAGGAAGAAAATACTTCTTCCCCCTAGGTACTGGAAAAACTTGCGAAACCATTTGAACTCTTTGCCTCGGCTTGGAAACAAGGGGAAAGACCACATCCAACCGCTGCATGGCTTCAGTTCTGCTCTGAACGTCACAAGTCCTGCAGGCTCTTACTGGGGAACTGAAATCAACTGAACAGACTGGAACAATCCTGTGTGTTCCTGCTCTTTCCCATGTGCTGCAGGCAGGGCTCTGCAGCCCGTTCCTGCCCAGACACTGCCTGAAGCTGTGCTGATAGCCCCTGGGAGCCACAACACAGCCCGGCAGGGCTGGGCAGTCCAAAGTGTTTACTGCTCAACCACTGACTGTCAGTGTCACAGGAGTACAAACACAGAGGCACTGGGGACTTACCTGACAGAATTACAGTCAGAAAGCTAGCATGCATTTCCATTTTTATGTCAAAGATCAATTTCTTCAAATATGTAAGAGAAACAAGTTTACAAATAGGGAGACGTTCCATACTTACAAAATACATTGAGATTCTCGATTTCACAGCTAATCTCAAAATGTACAACGGGAGGGAAACATACTCACAGAAATAACCTGCTGTAATCAATCTCCAACCAATCTGCTTCTAACCTGAGCTGCACCACATCTTGCTTGATGGACAGTTCATCTAACACTGAACCATGCTGCACTGAACTCTGTGCTCACACCAGAGCACATTCCACTGAGATGTGGGGAACACACAGGCAAAGAAGTATCATCTCTCCTTCTCCAGCCTGCCAGTAAGCATGGCCCTGTGTGTGAGCCAATACAGCTCCCACTGGTCCTGAGGAGACACAGGCAGCTCAAGAGGCCCACGCTCCCTGGAAAGGCTCCTGCTGCGACCTGGACTACAGCACTGCGAGGGGAAAAGACAGAACTTAAAGCATCTGCTTCCTGTGAGCCCTGTACGGGCTGCTGGGGAAGCAGCTGGGGGGGACAAGGCTGCTCCAAAACAAGGGTCTGGTCTGCGTGGCTGAGATCAGCCAGGCAAGACTCCTGTGACAAAGGCAAATAAGGCATTTGAGGTATGATGACAGCAAGAACATGTCAGAGCTAGATAGGACATGGCTTTGTACGTGGAAAGGTAAGAGGCAGAATAACCTGCAAGCATTTACACATCATCTTTCCACCAATGTAACGTTTGTCAGAGCCTCAGGCACTGCTGGAAACCCTCATGTGCAAACCCTGATGCTCTGTGACCCACAGGCACATTGAGGTGACACGTGAAAGGGAAATTCCATCAAAACAAATTACTCAAACAAAACCCGTGACACTCACAGCCATTAGTCTGGGCTAAATTAACCCTTGGTGTAATTTGCTTTCTAATACAATGAAAATTACTTTGCATGAATATTTTCCATTTAGCTGCCCTGATCTTACCCTACAGTTTGCAATACCTGTAATGAAAAAATTAACTGAGCCATCAGAACCCAGCATGCCTCCCAGTGCTGCTCAGTCTTTGGGGTTTTACTGTCACCAAAGTTACTGAGTTTATGTTTCAAATTTAAACGGAGGCATCATGGTGTGTGTCCTGGCAACTCTGGCTGCTCAGACTCAGTGGTTTGTAACGAGGAGTCTGGAGTGAGTAATCCCGTTATTCCACAATTTAGTTCCTCAGTGCCTCGTTCCTCTCCAGAGAAAGCCGCCGAAGATCCTTCCAAATGTCAGGATGATCCTCCAGCTCTTCGTATAACGACTGAACAATGTCCAGTTTCCTGTAGTCCACGGGGCTGACCAGGCTGCGCACCACCTGCAGACACCTCTCCTTCAGGGTGAACACTGCAGCCAAACACAAGCACAGCACAACCTCGTCACGAGGGCTCGCAGCTGCTGCTCCAGGGCCAGCAATGCTGCTCTCAGCCTGCCAGCGCAGAGCAGCAGCGACCCCGACAGGCTGGGCTCTGCAGACAGGAGACAGATGTGGTTCTGCCAGGAGGCACCCACCAAAACCCCTCAGAAAGCCCCTGAAAGGAGAGCTCTGCCACCAGCTCCGTCCAACGCAACAGCTCTACCTACAACCCCTCACCACCTCTTCCAGTGTCTGAGCTGGCTTAATTTCACGAGGATCTGATTTCTCACTAATCCCAACAGGTCCAGAGAGAGCAAGTTCAGAATTGCCCAGAGCACGCGCGCTCCTGTCCCTTACCTGGCAGTGTGATGTCAGCTTTGGTCACGTCGGGGGCTGCCACGAACAGCTCCTGCTGGTTGACGAGCAGCCCGTCATTGGTCCCTGCATCCCGGAACAGCCAGAGGTGCCCTGCCAGGGAACAAGCTGGGAGTGACCAAGTACCGAACTTTGTAATGAGCGCCTCTGAGGGGCATCTACTCGCAAGGGACCAAGCTCTCCAGCACAGGGCACTACCACAGCCCCAGTCACTGGTATGAGTGGGGAGGGAAAAGGAAAAAGGGAAAAAGGCGGGGAAAAAAGAAAAAGGGCAAAAAGAAAGGGGGAAAGGAGAGGGGAAAAGGAAAAGAAAGAAGAGCAAAGGAAGTGGAGAAAAGGGAAAAGGAAGGGAAAGGTAAGAGTGGAAGAAGGAAGAAGGGAAGAGAAATGAAAAAGGGGGCGGGGGGGACGCAAAAGGGTAAATCCCCCCCGGGCCCCGCGGCGCCCAAGCGCTCCCGTGCCGCCGCACCCACCCCGATAGCTGCGCATGACGCGCCCGCTGCGCGGCTGCAGGACCGGGTAGCAGCGCGGCCGGCCCTCGAAGTCCAGCCAGACGGGCAGCACGCAGCGGGGGCTGTGGTTGTTGAACACGACCTCGGAGAGCTCCCGCGTGTTGACCGAGCGCAGCACGGGCCCGGCCCCGGGCCCGCCCGGCCGCCCCGGGCCCGGCGGCGACATCGC